AATCTCCAAAGGGATCAAAACATAAATGTTCGTCAGCACAGATTTACCCGTATGTTTCTGCGTGAGTTTGATAGATATCCGACCACAAGTGTTAGGAGAGTTCCTGGTGCCTTGGGAATTTCAGCAAGCCATGTTCACCGTGTTCTTAGAAATGACCATAGACGTCCTTACCATTTGCAACCTGTGCAAGGACTACAGCCAGGGGACGGAGAACGAAGAATCACATTTTGTCAGTGAATTCTTGATAGAACTGATAATAATAGGGATAGATAGATAGATAGATAGATAGATGCTTTATTGTCTTCGGATCATAGAAATGATATAAGACTCGTCAGGCATATCTCTATGAGTACATTATTATCTACAAAAATTAAAAATATAGTTAAGTATAAATACATAAATTTGTCGGTTAAAAATGGAAAAAAACACAGTTTAGTCGAGAAAACAACAGATACAATAATAATAAACAGATTAAGGTGTAAAAGAAGTAAGTACAATAAAAATAGAAAAAAAATAATAGGTACGCATATACGAGTAAATATATACACACATATATACACATACATAATACATATATATACATATATACACATACATATATATAGACACACATACATATACATATATACACATATATATATATATATATATACAGCCATAGTTGCCTATTTAATTTTTTGGTGCATCACTCTTACCCTGAAAGAAACTCGGTTACTGAGTAGTAGCAACTTTCTATTAACAGACTCCTCAGCTCTTTCTTGAACCTATTTTAGCATCTAATATCTTTTAGTATTGATGGCAACTTATTGAATACCTTGGTGCAGGCGTAGGCTGGTGATTTTTCGAACATTGACAGTGTATGCGAAGGTATACTCAAGCCCTGTTTCGCTCTAGTGTTGTAGTTCGTGTTTAAGTCCTTGTTCTGCAGAAACTGGCCCCTGTGATTGAAGGTGTAGAGGGCGCATTTATAAATATATATACTCGGAAGCGTTAGCAAGTTATTATGCTGAAATATTGCTCTACATGGAGGGAGATTTTAAGTAACGTTTTATGGACCGATGAGTCATGCTTCACTAGACATGGAGTGGTAAATTTCATAATCAACATACTTGGTCGCATGAAAATCCGCATGCAGTTCGGGAAAGAAATTTTCAGCATGAATTTAGTGTGAACGTGTGGATTGGTATCTACCGTAATCGACTATTTGGACCCTACCTTTTGCCTGCAAGGTTAAATGCTGCGAACCTCTTGGAATTTTTAAAGGCTGAACATGCAAATATTTCGGATGATGTTATGTTAGATTTAAGAAGATTGGCCTGGTTCCAGCTTGATGGTTGTCCAGCTCATTATTCGAGAATAGTTAGAAACTGGCTGGACGAAAATTATCCAGAAAGATGCAACGGCCCTGGAGGACCAGTCGCCTGGCCTCCACGATCCCCTGACCTAAATCCATTAGATTTCTTTGTGTGGGGATTTCTAAAAGAAAAAGTGTACCAGACTCCCGTAACCATAAGAGATATGCTAATAGACAGAATCAGGAATGCATGTGATGAAATAAGGCCTTATTTGAATAATGCTATACCACGTTCGATCATTCGTAGATGTGAATCGTGTATTGAACAATTGGGTTTACATTTCGAGCAACTACTTTAGATTTTGTATGTTTTTCCTAACTATCCAATAGCATTTTAGTTGTAAATAATTAATTTAATTTGTTAAAAATATAATTGGAAAATTAAACAAATTAATGTTCTGTTTTTTTGTGTTGTTGTATTGCTATGTTTAAAAACACAATCTAAACGATCATCTTAATTACTTGTAATGCCCAAATCGAAAATGTAAAAAAAAATATTTTCCCATAAATAATTAAAAATGCATCGAACCTTAAAAATCGAAATAACTCAAAAACGGCTGATTATAACTAAAACTCACAGGAGAGCTTTTTCATGCAAAAAAGTGCGAAGAATCAATTTTTTTATTCAAAAAGCAAAAAATTGCACTAAGAAAAAAATTTCGGTCATTCTAATACACTACAGATACAGTAGCGAGCGCCCTCTAGCGGGTACAGTAAAACTATGCCCATATCGAAATATTTAAAAAAAACTATTTTAGAAAGTAAATTTAAACACCCTGTATTTCGGAAGCCACGCATTTTTCGACCCATGTTTATATAGACTTTATGCATTAATTTTAAAAGTTCTATCGAATCTTAAAGTTATGCAACAATAAACTGAAACACCCTGTATAGGAGTGTGTGACAAAGTTTTGTGTTGTGTTGTTTTAAAGATATGTCTCAAATATGGATTGATAAATATTTATTACACTTCCCTACAAATCTATTACGATTTCTTAGGAGGCTGTGGCTGTAAATCTATTAGCCATTACGACACAAAGAACGCTGGGATCAGCACTGATAACATCACTTTGACATAATTCTTTTGGTATCACTCTACTTATAGGAGTGTCAGTATACTAATTTCAACATGTCGCTTATGAATTGGTGAACTGTCAACGAGATCAAGATCGAGATACTAAAACAAATTTAACGAAAGTTAACTTTCTTATGGCACACTTGACGAAATGATAATCAAAAATCCGCAGTGAAATTAATGACCTCATAATATATTCCCCTATAGAAAGTGAACTTCACGGATCAGGTTTCGATGCCCTACAGTGATTTTTTATCGAATTTCACCGACACAACGACATCATTATGTAAAACGTTTACAAGCGCTAGGCTCATATTCATGTAAGTCAAAAACTGGAGCAATGCATTGGTCGATTTTTAATTTGTTTATCTGAACCGTTTCTTTCTCTTTTATCCTCTGTCACAACAACCTTTTATTATCTGATCTAAGATACAAAGCATTTATGATTATCGTAGTTGATTACATAGGTGGAGCTACTGTTAAACATAAGGTTTCTCCGTAGCGCATGTACCCAAAGCCTCCAGCTAAATATACTAAGTGACATATAAATCCGAACACCCAGTTTAAATGGTTTTATTTTAATAAAATTTTGTATAAGTACTTAATGAAGCATAATAAGTAAATGATAAAAATTTCAAAATGATTGCACTGCTTTAAAGCCCTTTGACCTTTTATAATGTGTGGATGCACCCTGATGTGCTACGCATTCTCCAACGCGCCTAGGCATGCTTCTGATCAGGTGGTCAATGTCCTCCTGTGGCATCTCATTCCAGGCAACCACCAACTCCTCTCGAAATGCTTCTAGAGTCTGAGGAGGACGTTGCAAATTGAGCAATCTCCTACCCATCATATCCCACACGTGCTCAATTGGGGATAAGTCGGGAGATCTTGGTGGCCATGGTAACAATGTGACATCATTATGTTGAAAGAAGTCTATTGTGACTCTTGCAACATGTGGTCGGGCATTATCTTGTTGGAAAGTTGGATCTGCCAGGGTGTCAAGATAGGGTTAAAGATGGGGTTCTAGAACTTCGTGGATATAACGCTGCGCGTTCATGTTACCTCTGATGAAGATTAAAGGTGACTTGGAACCATAAGCTATAGCACCCCAAACCATAACTCCAACAGTGTGATGAACATGTCTTTCAACAAAAAACTGTGGATTCCTCCTTTCACCACATCGCCTTCTAACCCTGGCATGCCTAAACAAAATCGAGACTCGTCACTAAAGACAATACTGTTCCATTCCTGATCCCAGAGTGACCGTTGTCTGCACCACTCAAGGCGATTACGTCGGTGTTCTCGAGTTAAAGGGAGGACCCAGTGTGGCCGGTATGAAAACAAGCCAAAACTTCTCATTCGTCGGTAAACACTTCGCATGCCAATACTTCTTCCGTGTTCTGCAAACCATTCATTTGCAATGGACCTGGTAGTGGAGAAACGGTCCCTTGAGGCCAATAATCTTAGGCGGCGATCTTCACGGTCTGTTGTTCTACGGCGGCAGTCAGTGCCCCTTGCTCTTTGCGTACGGCCTTCTCGAAGCCTTGCCTGACAACACCTAACCACAGTGTCTACACTTCTTTGCACTCTAACTGCAATTGCCCGAAAAGAAAGTCCAGCTTCCCGAAGTCCCACTGTACGGCCCCTATCAAACTCACTAAGTTGACGAAATCGTACAGATCTGCGTACTCTAGGCATCGTAACCGATCGTAAAGGATGTCAAGAACCAAAATCCGCCAACGTTGATTCTTTACTGCGGCTGAAATATTCATTTTTAGAGCGTTAGTGAATTAAAAAAAAGCAGTATAAAAAACGGAATGTCCAACTGATAAGGCTGAACATTTTTCACTTGTATTACAGTAAGATAAATACATTCACCAACTTTTATTAAAATAAAACCATTTAAACTGGGTGTTCGGATTTATATGTCACTTAGTATAAATGACTCAAATTTGAGACCATTGTAATATGTTTTACGTATACAGTGTGCTAGCCGCTGCCAGGCGAACAGTCACGTGAACAATTTGTTTCCTGAACAGGCTGAGAATAGTTCGTCAAACCTGGCCATGCAACGATTACAATTATTTCTTCAATATAATTAGATTCGGTGACTACGTTAGGGCTGTAGTTATTCAGATGTGAATTAACGAATAAACGTTCACCAGTCTTCTGCGAATACGAAGATATTTCGTGGAACAAACTATTTATACTACTTTTAGCACTAAGCAAATAATATCAGAACGTATGGAAGTTGTTTTCGATTAAAAAAAAATTAAACTGGCAATACTTTCGTCATCATATTCATTGTATGACATGACCAGCTGTAAGGGTTCCAATATCCGGCTACTAGAATGTAAAAAAGTTGATTGAAAACCCATAATTTCAATGTTTGCCAAATCAACAATTTTTTTATGATATCTATTCCAAACTACGTCCTTATGCCAGGCTATAGGGATTTCCATAGATAGAGAATAAAAAAGATACCAGAGCGTAGAAAGTTGACTCAGCATCTGAGTCCATTGCGTGGAAAATACAGATTCAACCTACCTGACGCATTTTTTTCTTTTGCAGATGAGGGTGACATGTGCCGTAGTTTTCACAGTATTATCCTGCGTGGTAGCAGATCCAGCTATCGCACAAGCACAGAGCAGACCTGTGTCCAATCGGCCTGGTAGATTCCTGTCACTGCCAAATGCACAAAAATGTGCAAACAGTAAGTAAATTATCAGTACAGCATCTAAATATTTGCCGGGAGTGAAGTGCATGGTGGGGGGACTAAATAGATCGCAGCGTTCGGACTGATAGTGGAATATAAGCGTGGTTTCTATGGTGAGATCTGCGTCAGGTGGGGCCAAGGCCTGACAACGTGGAACAAGGCGTAAATAAATTGTCAGCTTGAAATTACATTTTTTTCTAACATGCCTTCATCGCGCACCCAGCCTATGTCCTGAAGAATTATTTTTTTCCAAAAAATTCATAGACATCACAAGCTTTGTTCTTTCAAATGCCGTTGAGTTTGGGTTCGAGATATGACACTATATTTGAAACTATGCGTTATGCGTGTACGTCTAGGTTGTGGTTTGGACTATATCAACAAAATTTTAATACTAGTTCATGTATTTTTATAAAGTACTCGTAAGACCCAAATGAACTCAGCATACACGGAGTTCTATATTTTACTTCTCTATCGGTGGGTTTCAGAGGTTTAGGGATGAGTACCAAACCAGCCTCCTTCCACCTTTTCGGAAAGACTCCCGTTCTCAAGCATTCATTCATCACAGACAACACGATTTCGAGTATCCCTTTAACCAGCGCTTTCACGATCTCATTTGGCATCTCATCTAGTCCTGGTGCTTCACCTGTTTTCAAGTGCATTGCAGCTCACTCATGGTGAACAATAGGTATACTTTATCTGAAGTCACTTGAAATAGCATAAAAACCTTTGGTCGGCGCGTCCTTTGTAATTTCATGACGTATCATAGGCGTGCGGTCATTTATTTAGAACGATAATAATAATGTTTTTATATCACAATAAATGGATTTTACTATCTTCTTATTTTTTTGATTTGGTATAAAAAATACTTATATTGGGAGTTTAATTTATGTTGACTGAAAGTTAAGAAATGGGAAAATTACAGAATTCCAAGGTTTGACATAGGCAAATATTTACATAGCAGGTAGGTATATAAAAAGGTATATAAAGACTTACTATTATAGGTGTTTATATATCATCCTCGCCTTCGGAGCTGTCGCTAGAGTCATCTTGTAGAGGAATTACAACGGGATTTACAGGAGGCAAAACACAATATTCATTTTCTTTTTCAATAATATGCCTAGAACACTGCTTCCATAGGTCTGTGGCAGCAATATGAGATACTGCATCTCTTATTGTGTGTGTGTAATTGAGGGGTCTGATTATGTATTCTTACTTTTTTTTTAAAGCAGCCCAGACCAACTCAATCGGGTTAAAAATGCAGTAATAGGGAGGTAGACGTAATACTTCATGGCCATTTTGCTGAAGCAGATTGTCAACAACACATACTCTTTTTCAAATTTTTGTCTTTTAATAAGATCCAATAATATAGCTTTGGTTGATTTTTGTGGTATTTCCATTCTCTTATCCTTCATAAAATCAATAATGTCTTGTTTTTTTGTGCCTGTATTCGGAATTTTGTTTTTCTGTCGGGAATGGTATGGCGCATTGTCCATAATAATCACTGAATTTGGGGAAATGGTTCGTATTAACTGCTGCTCTATCCACTTTTCAAATAAGTCGGAGGTCATGTCCTCATGATAGTCGGCATATGATTCTTTGATATTTTTGGCAGATAACAGCAAGGCATTAGGTATAAATCCATTTTCACTGCCAGCATGGAGAATAATGATTCGTTTTTCACGGTTGCATGGTGTATTTAAAATGCACTTGTTGCTGTCGTCAACCCAGCCGTACTGCACAACATCATGGGTATCATACCACGTTTCATCCAGGTAAATCAGATTTCTTTTCTGCTCTCTATAGATTTTAACTTTGTGCAAAAATTCTTGGCGCAATTCAACGATTCGAGACGACTCCATAATCACCATTCTTTTATCTAATTTTTTGTATTGAAAACCACACAGTTTTACAATACAGTGCAGTGAGGCTAAGCATTTGTAATTATAAAAATCTTCAGGATAATCTTTTAATTTATCCCGTATCATTTCCAACGTGGGCACCAAATTTTCTTTATAAAATCCGTATATTATACGACGAATATCTTCCTGAAAACCCACGTCTATTCTTTTTAATTTTTGCCCTATGCGCTTTCTGTGGAAGGAATGGTTGACTACATCTCCCCTTTTTATAACCCGATATATGGTAGACCGACTGATTTTTGTCAGGATACAAAATTCTGTTTAAAATTTGATTTTGCGAGGAATCTGGATTTTCGTTTTTCAGACAATCATACATATTTAGGATTACTCTTTGAGTCTGTTCCTCTAAATCTTTATGAAAGAATTCTGCCTGCACAGGTTCATCAACCATCTCCTCGTGGCTTGGAGCATTTTCCCAAGGTCTCCAAAGAGCCATATTTAGGACACACAAGAACAATCAACACAACAATTAAATCAACAACTAAACTGAGTATTCAAAGTCAAAAACACACAAACTAATAAAATCTATGAAAAAACACGGGCAGACTAAAGAAAACACGTTTATTCACCGCTACACGGCGCTGGCTAAACTGTTTCAATTTTCAGTAGCCACCTGCACTTGTTCGGAGCTCTGAAATACACGCTTTCTCATTGGCTAGTGTCCACGCATAGGCGTGCTTTACTCCACGTGGACCGGTGAAACTGCCTTTGATCTTATACGGGGGATATTTGCTGCGAAATTTGGCGATGTTTGCAGCAACAGAGCGTGTTAAATATAGATATATAAAACGCACCCGGTATTTCACAGTGTTTCAAGTGACTTCAGATAAAGTATACGTTTTTAAGGAACTGATCTAGCTTTCAGTATCCAAAACTTACACAAACCACACATTCAGTAATCACAACAAATATGAGTAGAAAGTGCTATATCTCAGAGAAAGATGAAGAATACTCCAGGAAAGTCAACTCCATTTAAAAACGCAACGCTATGCCTATGGTTTTTTCAAAAAAAAAGTAGTTCGTACACGCTATATAACCTCAAATAAAGGAAAAAATCGCTATTTTCGCTCCCTTAAGTTAGGATATCTCGTAAACTAGAGTCAATAGAGATATGTCGACCACGGATTTAGATTCAGTGCATTAAAAACTTCCGGGAAAGTATACCCTGGTGTTTAGGTAAGAGGATCGGCACGGGTATCATGTAAAAAACCTGTCAAAAAAATATATAAGATGTCAACTTGCAGATAGGTAGTTTTTAGGGTGCAAACAGTCATTCCACGTTTGCTCACTAGGATCGTTGTGAACGTCCATCTATGGAGGAATCACTCAACTAAACTACGCGCATTATTGGTTGCATATGTTTGTGAGGCTGAGTGCTCCGTGTCTGTAATTTTTATCTCTGAGAAGAAAGTTGGTTGCATAGCAAGATCGCATCAGATTTTACATCACATCAGAGCCAAAAATTGATAACAAGCCTCATGACGTACAACTAAGTGCTAAATTTTGTAGAAAAATTTCAATTTACGATAACAACAATTCAGAAGCTCGGTTGGTCAGAGATGTTTGCAAAGTCCGGACCTTCTAGGATTTTCCTTTTCTTGTTGAGAACATTACATGTCATATCTTAATTCTCGGAAACAATGATGTAACAAAGCTGAAAATAAATCTACCGAAACTACTTCATAGCTTTGGAAAGTGTTTGTCAATATTTGCAGAATGTGCGTAAATAGCAATAAAATAGATACGCGAAATTGAATAATACAGGATGTCAGGATGATGGGCATTGTATAATAATTACAGCCCAGTTACTAGCTTTACATCGTTTGTTTAGGGGATGAGCGCAGAGGTATTTATTTCCGTTTAGGCAACCCGGCAGTTGTAGTGTTAGCCTGTCTTTACCGTTCTCCAAAAGGCAGTTCCTTAAGGATAAAAAAATATCTCATATGACCCGTATTTATACAGGGTGCTCGAACCATCGATGGAGATATTTTAGAGGGCGATTCCTTCTTAAAAAATATGAAAAAAAAGTTTGTATAAACATGGGTCCGGAAATGCAGAATTTTCAATATACAGGGTGATACATTTTAGAAAAAATATATTATCTTAAAAAATATTTTAAATTTGGCAATATTATTTGTTGCATGAAGAAGCTAATTTAGCCCTTAATCGATTAAAATTATTAGGTCCAGTGGCGTCCTGGGCGGCAATTTAGCACATACTATTGACAAAAAAGTGTACGCTACTGCCTTATTTGTAACTCAAACAAGAAAGATTGATATTCAAATCTAGTTGGGTACTTTATTGTGAAGGTTCATTTATACCATTTATGTATGAAAAATAATATCGCTCAAATGTTTACCACGACTGGATTTACAGACGTACACGCGATGGTCGAAATTTTCAATGACATTTTGCAACATGGTCGGTTCTATGGCATTTATCCCGGCAATGATGTTGTTTTTGAGTTCTTGGAGGGTGGCTGGTTTGTTGACGTAGACTTTGCTTTTCAAATATCCCCATAAAAAGAAGTCCAAGGGAGTCAAATCGCACGATCTTGGTGGCCATGGCACATTTCCTCTGCGCGAAATCACGCGATCGCTGAAGAAGGACTGCAATCGATGGATATTGACGTTGGTTGTGTGGCATGTTGCACCGTCTTGTTGGAAATAAACATCGTCCATATCCATTCCTTCAAGTTGCGGCAAAAAATAGTCCTCTATCATCACGTGATATCGCTCAGAATTGACAATAACGGCGTCACCGGCCGCATTTTCGAAAAAGTAAGGTCCGATGATGCCTTTTGACCACAATGCACACCACACAGTCACTTTTCGAGGATGCATCGGCTGCTCTTGATACTGACGGAGATTTTCGTTCGCCCAGATGCGGCAGTTTTGTTTGTTTACCGTCCCATTCAAAGTGAGATGCGCTTCGTCGCTGAACATGATTTTTGATGAAAAATTGGCATCAATTTGGCGGTGTTCAAGGAGCCAATCTGAGAACGTTCGGCGCGAAAAATGGTCGGCCCGACGCAGCTCTTGCGTCATTTGGATCTTGTAGGCGTGTACATTCAAATCC